CCACATTAAGAAGGAGCCATTGAGCCTGACTCTCAGCCCACAGTAAGCCACTACACTCAGCAAGACACATTGGGCTGACTGCGGTCTCCAAGTTATCCCGTCAGTTGGCAATCCTCCCAGCCACGGCTTTTAGCGCACCATGATAGCTTCAAGCGCATCACATTGTTTTTAGTGAGTGAAAAATGTGCTGAGTGTCGACCTTAGTCCCTCCTTCACCGCCAGCAACAGGCCATCGCCTAGTTACTCGGTCGCGTGAGGTGGAATGGGCGCTCACATTGACTCACGCTTTAGCTGTGGGCAGGAAGTAGAGGTAGGTGAAGGAGCTTTGACTGCTTACTGTGGAAAGAATGACACGAATACGCAAAGATCAACATATCATCCACTCAGTTATCTGCCTATACGTGGAACTGCCTGAAGTCAAACCTGGGGTTGCCATGTCACCAACATTTACATAATATACTTTCCAAAAACTCTTTTTAAGTTGAGCAGTTGTTCGTTCCCCATTCACTCAATCCAGTTTTTTCTACTTAAACGTAAAGCACTACTCGCTTGATTTATTTTACACTAATGATTATTCAGTATTTCCTCGTTCTGTTTAACTGCGCTCTCTAGTGATCAAGATAGGGTGTCCCTTTGAGGAAGGAAGTCTCCACTTTAACCGACCGGTTCAATAACAATCAAATATACTTTCCTCGTATGTGTTGCTCAGGGATTTTGTCCATTTTAAATTATAGCGAATTCTCTTAAAAACTCTCTCCCACACATACACAGCTAGGAGGTTGCTGCTGCCTCTCATCTACCCGGATTGAATGTCGTTTCTCAATTGGTCATGTACAGAAGTGACGCCATTCCTGACTTTCCTCGTTTTCCCATCCAAGGTACGCCACTGCACGGTCTCCGGTGCAGTCAGAATGACGAGCTCTATGGACATCTCTCGACGAGCGTCATGATACCTACCTCGACGCTAGGGAGCTGCCGAAAGGTCCAGTACATGACAGCGGCTGACGGGGACGCCAACGGATTACCACTCACCTACATGGGCTCTCCGCAAGCCTTCCCAGCGCATCAGCTTCTAGCCTACGAGGGCCGTCTCAATCCGGAGGATGCCACCTCCTTCTCATCTTCCTCCGCTGCCGTCGAGTCCAAGACGCTGCCCGTCTTTCAGACTTATGATGGCCTGATCTGCCGTATTCCCTTCTCCGAAAACTCCTCCACCTCCAATTCCGCAGCTGTCGGCGTGGATCGT